AATCCTTTAGAAGTTCTGATCCGCTATCGCGCGCGGATCAAAACGAGTAATTTTGATGAAAACGTAATACATCGACAGTTAAACTCGGATATCGTCTCAAGGATTCTTGTAGGAATAAACAATTAAAGTAACGAATTATGGGGGGGGGGGGGTTGGTCGTGTTTGATTGAAATAAGTTGTTGTGAAAAAAAGTGATTATGAAATAAGTTGTTTCAAAATAAGTGATTACAGTAACGAATCCACTGCCTCGGTTCTTACTAATCATCGACTGATGAAAATACAATTTCCCAAGTAGAATTTCTATCCTATTTGATGACAATATCAACCAACAAGCGTGATTGATATCAAGAGAAACATGTTCCTATCGCCGGATTAAGCATACGGTAAAGGATAACGTAAATTAACAATTAAACAGAGTTAATCTACAATTAAAATTAGGAACACAAATCAATCAAATTAAATCAAATATACTATATGATAATTGAATTAAGCAAACAACAATCACATGATATAATTGAAAGGAATTGAATTTAAATTGTAAATGTCATAACAATCTCAAAGTTCGAAACCTGAGTACAGTGAATTCGTCCAGAGGGGATTAGTTCTCCATGAGTTTCCAAGCGTGCTCTCTTTTTTTCGTGAAAATAATAAGACTCATGAACAGTAACTGAGTTTTCCCTTAAAAATAAAAATAATGGATCCGGTTCAAAACCCAACTGGGTCAAAAATATAACCCAGACCCAATACATGACCCAACACTAAAATAAAATTCTAATGTTGTAACTTCAAACGAAATTCTGGAATTTTGGGCTCCGAATCTAACTTCGACTCCAACACGAAAGTCGTATCTCTCTCTCTTAGCTTTCCGGCGATTTTTAGAACGCCTCAAACGAATTCCCGGAACTCCAGTTATGATCGTTTCCGTGCAGACTGCTAAAGCTGAAAAATAAAGTGCGAAAATCAAATTAAGCCAAAAATAAAATAAAATATAAAAACAAAATAAAACATAAAAATAATCAAAATAAAGTAAAGAAATGCCTAAGTAAAAATATAGGAGAATGTGCATAAATATGCACTGATCAAGTTCGCACAACGAACTTTTCATAGTTTTCAATTTTTTTTTCATTTCTTGTTTTTATTCGTATTTTTGAGCCGATTAACCCGATGTGGTTGTACGACCATTGTATGTGGATATTATTACAGTCATTTTTGACTTTTGGTTCTAAAAACTATTTTCAAAAATAAACTCTCGATTTTATCGAGCCATTTTCAAACTCGTAAGTTGATTGCCTTGTGCGTCGCTATCGACCTTGTTCGCATCACTTCAAACATTTTTACAAGCAATAAAATCCTTGATCCAACATCAAGTGGTATTTTTCTCATAAAAAATTCAAAGAAAACAATAAAGATACGATTGGGGTTATACGCCATGAGCTTTAAAGTGTTGGAGAAGGAATGAGAAGGGAACCCCTCCTACACTCGTTCCGAATGTTTTGAATACAAGACGCTCGACTTGGTTATTTGAAACATTCATCTCTATCCAAAGTTTTTAGTGTGACCCTAATCAAGAACAATTTCTTCTCAAAAACCTAAAAATAACACCAAATCATCAAACTTCTTTTTGCCTTAGGGCATCAATCCGAAAACCCTTTTTCAAGGTGTAAAGTCAACCGACATACAACCATTTCACAAGCCTCCGAACTACGGAGCTCTGATTCTTCACTTCTTTTAAGTGAGGATACGTAGGCATAAGGGCCATAATCCTTGGCGAGTACTCTAATAAAAAACCAACCCCTCTTTCCCTTAAGCAAGTAAATTTTTAAATTAAAACACCCATTCAATGTAAACAACTTATAAGGTTCTCATTGAATATGATGGATGTGAGGGGTGCTAATATCTTCCCCTCACATAATCGAATCCCGAACCCTAAAACTTGGTTGCGATGACCATGCTTTTTCCCTAAAGGTTTTATCGTTATTTCCATTTCCCTCCTTGGGATAAATAAAATCCGGTGGCAACTCTGTGTCATTTTTCGCGTAGCAACAATACCTAACTTCAGTCAATAACCTTATTGATTCACCATGGAGCTTGAATCTCACAGATCCAATACCTGCAATTTTGTAAGATTTGTTGTTTCCCAGCAGCACTGATCCACCATCTTGATCACATAGCTCCTCAAACAATTCTCTGTTTAGAGTCATGTGCCAAGTGCAACTTGAATCCATAATCCACTCTTTTCTTGAGTCGCCACTTGAAACCACCAGAACATCAGATGAGTCAAAATCATCTTGAGCAATGGTTGCGTTGCCATTATCTATACCTCCATGATCTTTCAGGCATTCAGGGCACGCCTTTCTTGTACGACCCTGCTTCTTACAGTGATAACATTGAATACCAGATACTTCGCCACTATAAGACTTATGTTGACTTTTACCTTTCTTCTTGTCGAACTTACCATCCTTTCACAAGATTTTTCCCTTAACGGCAAACCTTCACCCACCGCCGAAGGTTTATACTCCTTTCATTCGTTCAAGTCCTTAGAATGCAAGGCTGATTGAACTTCTTCAAAGCTCACAAACTCCCTTCCATACAAGAGAGTTTCTTTGAAGTGGGCATTTGTTCTAGGAAAAGCACACAACAACAACAATGCTTGATCTTCATCATCGATCTTCACATCAATATTTTCAAGATCAAGAATCAGTTTGTTGAACATATCCAACTGCTCAACTAACACTTTGTCTTCAGTTATCTTGAATGAATACAAAGCTTGTTTCAGGTAGAGTCGATTCACCAGAGATTTGGTCATGTACAAACTTTAAAGTTTCACACATAACCCCGATGTTGTAGTCTCCTTTGGTACCTGTCAAAGAACCTTATCACCAAGGCTCAATAATATTATGTTGTGGGCTTTCTCAATCATGGTCGTATTTTCTTTTTTCGTTAATGCAACGTCCATGGTTGCCTCTCCCTTCAACGCTTCCAAACAACCCTGCAGAACCTGTAGGGCTTTCATCTTCAAGCGCCACAGACCGAAGTCGTTCACTCCGGTGAACTTTTCAATCTCATACTTTGTTGAAGGCATCTTCTCCATGCTCACCGCACCAATTTTTTGTTAATAGAATGCCTTGAAACAAAATATACAAACGGTTCTTTATATTCAAGAAACACACAAGAGTTAGGGTTAACAAAGAAAACAAGCAAGAAAAACAAGAAGAAACAATAAGGATTGGTTATAAACCGCTATTCTTTCCTTTATCTATCAAACAAGATTACAAGCATACAAGAATAACAAATAACCTCTCTCTCTCTCTCTCTCTCTCTCTCTCTCTTGAATTAGGATTTTATCTTCCTATATTTCCTTATACAAGTTGAGAGACTAACATGCTATTTCTAAGAAAACTAACACAGTAACCTAATGGGCTTTTTAATAATTACCCATTACAAGCTAACTTAGGGTATAAGTTAACTTAAACAATTGAACTTACAAGCAAGGCCCAATTCAACATGCTAACAAACATAACAATATTGATTAATGCATGTTAGAACAAACTTCGACTGCAACATGCATTACTCACAAAAAGACTTCGATCATACTAGAGTTCGATCCAATATCTCACAGAATGTAATACAATACAATATCATTGAAACATTTCTCTCATGCATTTTAAAAAACAACTTCTGAGCATTTTCGCGGTTGCCCGTTTAAGTACATCATTTGCATAAATGTTTTCTTTTTCTACAACTTTCAATTCATCAACACATCATTTGAACAAATGCTTTATTTTTCACGAGGAACAAAGATTGTAACTGAAGCAAAAGCAAAAATCACTAAGTCTTCCAAAATCCCTTCAAGAAAAGAATGCAATGCAATTGAAATAAAGAATAACCTTTTGAACCAAGAAATTGGATAATTTGATTCCATTTAACAATTTTCTCGAAATCACCACTAGTATAATTTGAATTTGTATTCAATGATGATGATGATGATTACGATGAACAACAAGCATGTGAATGAATTAACTCAGAACCACCTTGTAAAGCTTCACGTTGAAAAGAAGAAAATGGTCCCACAACACCACACGTTTTATTGTGAAAGTGTGATAAAGAAGCTAGTAGAGTTTGGAGAATAAAAGCTTTGGAAAAAATTGGAGGTTGGTCAGAGTGAACGTCTGTTAAGGAATTTATGAGGGTTTGTATCCCCCGCAATTTAATGCATTTGTTGACTTTAAGTGACGCGGTGTTCCACACCAGCTTCTGTTAGACCAAATAGATGACAGAGACAAAAATGTGGATGAAAATTTTTAGGATGACCATACTTTGAAGGAAATTTTTATATGGACTAAAACTGGATTTTGGATTATTTATAGGGACAGAAAACATATTTAACCCTTAATTTTAATTAATTTATTAACAAATGTAATTAGAATAATTTTTACGTCGATGAAAAGAGCGGAAGTAGACGTCACTTTCACACTCTAAAATTGTGTTAAAAAATATATTAATCACACATGATTGAATTTAAATTATTTTAATTGTGGTTACCCCTATTAGTTGGCTACATGATTAAGAGGAAGTAATTAACTGTGATAAAAGGGGAACATCTCTTTGTTATTGTTTTTATTATTAATATAATTATTATTTTTATAAATACTTATTAATTATAGGCTTAAATAGTCTTGTGGTCCCTGTAAGTTAGCGAGTTTTTGAATTTAGTCTTTGTATCTTTTTTTTTGTCTGAGTCCTTATAATTCACTTTTATGTTGCCTTTAGTCCCTGACGTTAACTTCATGTTAAAAAAAGCTGACTGTGCAAACAATGTAAACATGGAATTGTTTTTCTTTTTTATCTGATGCAAACGTGGAAATCCATGTGGACGAGTCTTGAAAAGGAGGACTAAATCTAAAAAAAAATCACCATTTTATATTTTTCACTTCTTCTTCATCTTCTCTTCCTCTCTCCTTCCTATTTCAAGAATTTTAAAACAAAGTTTAAAATCAGTCATGGCAACATATTCTGTTGGTAATTTCTCTGAGTCTGCAATCCCATTTTATGGTTGCAATAAAGCTATGAGAATGTTCATTTTAAACTCAACTGAAAACCCTAAAAGAAGATTATGGAAGTGTTCAAATTTGGGATTACGTTGCAAGCTATTCATCTGGGATAATGAGCTTGAATGCAGCACATCAAGTAAACACAAAAACTCAATTGGATGCAATTGCTCAGATGTAGTTCAAGAATTAGGGTGCATCATTAAAGATCTTGAAGATTGGAAAAAAGAGAAGATGAAAATGAAGTTGGAAAACGAAAGGAAGAAGGCCAGAATGTTGAAGCTTTTGTTGACTTTTTCATGGTGTCTCTTCTTTGCCTACAAGAAATGGTAGTGATTCATGGAGTCTGCAATTTTTGTTTTGTTTTAGTCCCTATTAGAAGATTGGTTTTTTAAAATGCGTCCTTATAATGCTACATTATGAAGTGTATCATAAGTAATGTAATTTTTTATTTTCGTCCCTAAATGTTTGTTACTTATTGTTTTGCATCCCTCTTGCTTAATGAAATGTTTGTATTACATCATTGGTTGTTAATGTTGTAGGACATAAAGGCATAAAAAAGTGATCTCAAAATATAAGAAAAACACACCATACATAAACCAAAAGATGTCTCAAAATTACATATAGCCAAAAGGCATATAAATTTGTCACATAGTACAATAAATACACACCAAATCATAATGGTGTGATATGTCTCAAAATTAAATAAAGCCAAAGGGCATAGACTTATGTCTAATAATACACTAAAGACACAAAAAATATATCCAAAAGGAATCAAATACACCATGACAACATGCTTATGGACCCTTGTCCACATCCATAGGCTGTGATAGATTACTTCCTTCTCCCTTCAGGTTTTTGCATTTAAGGACCCTTGTTCTGTCACTTCTCTTCAACTCCAATTTTCTTGCAACTTGTGGTTTGGTTGTCTTCTTCTTCTTCTTCTTCTTCTATAAAATATAGAGTATTAGAGGTGCAATACATCAATAGAATAATACCAAATAATTAGAAAGTGGTAGGATATATTCAACTGTTTTAAGAACTTTTGGAGTAATAGACATAGATGCAACAAACACATTGTTAGATATGGAATAGGTGCACTCAAAATTTAGTCAGGTCTATGTTCAGTTTGTGAAGTTGCAACATGTTCAAATGATGTGACAAGTGCATTATTACTTGGTTCACTTTGTGTAGATGATGCAATAGGTGCAATATTACTTTGTTCACTTTGTACAGGTGCAATATTACTTGGTTCAGTAACAACAAGATTAGGTTGTGTTTGAGTTTCCCCAAATGCTACTATAAGATTTGTAGCAAGCATTTCAAACTCAGGGTCAACTTCAGTTTAAGTCTCATTTTCTTGTGATTTTTCTTGTCCTGATGCAGCTTGAGTTTCATTAGTTTGAGTCTAACTTTGTTGTTGAACTGATGCAGTTTGAGTTGGAATGTGTCATTTTCCTTTTCCTTGTCTTGGTGCAATTTTATTTGGCTTTCTCTGGACAAAAAAATCATAGTCAAGTATTAACATTATCAATGACAATAGTAAGATATGCAAAGGTATAACAAATTCAATATCATTCATTTTTGTGCTTCAGGGTCAACCACTTGACTGGTACATCTTCTTGCATTGTGGCCATGTATACCACATCTAGTGCAACAATAGATGGTTTGTGTTCTTACTTTATTAGGGTCCTCATCAGGTTCCCTCCCCCTCAACTTCTTTGGTCTACCAGGTCCTCTTTTATATGCTAGAGGTAACACCTCTTTCATGCCAACCTCTGGCCACATGTCTTGACCATTAATGGGACTTACACTATAACTATAGCATTTCTCATAGGTTTCCTTGGAATAATAGTCATCAACATAATCTTTTGGGAATTGGTTCCTAAAACCTAATGCAGCTACTGCATGTCTACAAGGAATACACACTAGTTCCCAAAAATTACATGTGCATGTTTTCTTTGAAGTATCCACAATGAAGCTATTCCTAGTATGTGTATGTTCCACTTGCCATAATGTATCACCAGACCAATTAGGAATCCAACTCCTTGCATGTTCCACTTTCTTATCCAGCCTAAGTCTAGGTCTAGGCATTATCCCATGATTCCATTTATCAACCCTTTCTCTTAAGCTGGCATTCCTATTTATGAGATAGTTTCTTATCCATTCATACATAGTTAATATTGGCTTATCCCTTTCAACTAATATAGTTCTATTAAAATCCTCATAGAAATTATTCATAAGAACATCACATCTAGGATAAAAAGAAAATGCATGCTTACACCATGCTTTGGTAGGTATGCCTGACAGCCACTCCCAAGCCTTCATATTGAACTTCTTCATCTCTTTCATTTTAGCCTCCCATGCTTGGATATATGTGGCTTTGACAGCTGCCATCATCAAAAAAATTATGGATGAAATCCAAAAAAAAATTAATATGGTTAGGGATGAAATCCAAAAAAATGAACATAATCAGGGATTAGATCCAAAAAACATAACAAGTACCTTTTGTTGGTCAGAGATAAAAACTCATATCTTATCTTAACCAATGTCTTCCAGAAGTAAGGTCAGAAACCACCTCCATGACTATTTTATTTCAGTTTCACATACACTAGAAGCTATGGGATATTATTGGTCATTTGGGTCTCTACCAACTGCAATGAGAAGAGTCCTTCCATACTTTGTCTTGAGATGACATCCATCAACACCAATGAATGACTTACAAGAGGTTGTGAATACCTTTTTAAGCCCATCTAAGAAAAAATAAAAGCTACCAAACCTTGGTTGTATTGTTGGCCCAATCCTTGTCAGGTTAATTTTGTAAGTCTTCCCAACATTGACTCTTCTTAACTTTGTAGAGTATCTCCATAAAAAGTTGTATTGTTTTGCTGCATCACCTTCAATCAAAGCTTTTGCAATTTATTTTGCCTTCCATGCTCTGCTCATAGTTATACCAACTGAAAAGTTACTCATAATCTCAGAGACAATATCTCGAATCTTAACACCATCTGAAGATGCCATCCTAGCCGCCACAGATTTAGCAACCCACTTGGAAGTGGCATAGCTATTATTTAGTACCCTATCACACGCGTGTGTTCCAACCCATTTCTTTATCCTATATGTGCGTTTATTCCCAACTTTACTTACAAGTGCTTAAAAGCCACATTTGCCCTTGCAAATTATCCTTACTCTAACTTTGTCATTTTTCACATGCTTTATATGTCTACCATTTAATACTAACTATTCAGTTATTGTTTCCTTAAATTCTTCAAGTGATACAAACTTCAATCTCACTTTGAATTTGTAATTCTTGTCCAACTCCTGCATCTTAAACCTTGGATATTTTGGTTCCTTTTCTCCATCAGAAGCATCAGGGCCACTACTACCAAGCTCATCACTAGCATAGTTGATGTCCATCTCATTAGCCACCCCACTAGTTGACCTTACATTATCAACATCAATTGGTACTTTCTTTGGAGTTTGCTTATGCTTCCTTGTTGCAACTTTTATCCTACCTCTTTTACCATTATCTTCATCTTGATTTTCAACAGCATCAAAACAATCATCCAACCCAAGAGCCCTTTCATCCTCACTATCATCAAATGATAAACCATCAACTTCAAAGTTACTATCCTCATTGTCCTCACTATCCTCATTTACTTCAACTTGTTCAACACCACCTACACTAGCTTCTTCATCTTGCTCAACTTGTTCCACACCACCAACTTTATCTACTTGAACATTCTTAGCACCACTAACATCAATACCTACTTCATCTTGTTCCACATCACCAACATTATCCACTTCAACATTCTTAACACCACCAACATCATTAACTAGTTCAACTTCTCCGTAATTCACTTATAACTAAAAGTAAGTTAATTATTCTCTCTTTATTATATATGAAGAATGCGTCAAAATCATGTAACACGTTTCAAATACAATTTTATTTCACTCTTTTTTCTCATATATTAACTTGGACGTTGGAATATTAACTCTACAGGCCTCCACTCAGCCGCATTAGAAGCCACGATCCGCCATCACCGATATTTAACTTCTCTTCTTTAATTCTAAAACGGAACACTTTTTAAATAATTAAAAATCTTAAATTTACATATTTTCCAATGTTATATTTAAAACTCCTCTCAATCAAAAATCACATCTAGGATGAGTGTAATATGCATCACATCAATGGCAATTTAAAATTATAATTGGAGATATTTCTTCTATCAATTACTATTACTAATGATCATGTCTCTGTCGGATACATCATACTTAGAGGGTCGATGCAAGTCATGGAAGGACCGATGCACAATAAATTAAAATAATAGAATTGGCCAAAATAAATAAATAATTTAAAACGGTCCCTTCACACCTATCATACTCATTTACTTTTTGAAATTAAAATGGAAACATTGGACCCGAATATATCAAGATCGTGTACTCACATAAATTAAATGCAGTAGGTTTCAAATATTTCAATTTTATCACATTATTTGGCATTAAATTTAATGTCACATACATTTTTAATCGCTAGAAAATTGATTTTTTTAAAGATTAATTATCGTTAAATTCTTATCCCATTTCTTAATATATTTATACATGTTTGGTGTACGGCTTAACCAACCCTTCAATTTAATATAAAAAAATGTAAAAATATTCAAAGCTATTATAATATTCAAACTGAGACAGAGATTCCCTTGACAATTTAAATAGTAAAATATGTGCAGACAAAATCAAAATTTTAAAAACTTCAAAACCTGGCCAGCTGTGCATACCATAATTAAGACTTATATTATGCAAACTTATCTCTTATTAGAAAAAAAAACAAACATGCTTCCTACAATTCCTCCTTAATTTCAGGTTGAATTGAGCATAAATGTGTAAAATAAGCATAATTTTTTTAAGTGGGTTAGGGTAATAACTAGGAGACAACAACATGTTGGTTTAATTAATGTATTTTTTTTTAATCCAATGGAGGTGGTTGAGTACATGTTATGTGTTTATCATATTTTTTTATTTATTTGTAGATTTCAAATATCTTTTGCATTTATTTGTGGATTTCAAATATTTTTTATTTATTTTGTGTTGTACAAATTAAAAACAGTAATAAATAAAAAAATGATAATTTTAGTAAATTATTCTTATTAATTATTGACGTATTCAATTATATTAACGTTAAATAATAATAATAAATTAAAATATTTAATAAAAGATATAGTTAAAAGATTTAAAATAAAATTACTTTAATAACTAAAAGTAAATAAGTATTTTGAAACAAATATTTTTTTAAACATGATATTTATTGTGATACAGAGGTAATATTTATTTTA